TCTCACTCCCCTCTCTCTCTCTTTCTCTCGCTCTCTCTCACTCCTCCACCCCCTCTCCCCCCTCTCCCTCACTCCCCCCTTTCTCTTTCCCTAGATGTGGTATTTGGCACGATTCGTCTGTCGACATTGTTTGAGGAGCAATAAGCCGGGCGTCCGGCAGTAGGTCCATTCTCAGACGACGGATAATGTGTGCAACAATCATAGATCGAAGCATCAGACAGGCGTCCTTTGCTGGAGCGTAACATTTTCAACGCCTCGATCGCCTTTCTGGCAGCCTCTGAAACTCTCTTGTTGGCCATTTGCTTGGCATAACTGAGTTGGTTTTTTAAAAAAATTGTTTCATATCTCCTCAACTTTAGCAATTTCGTCAATAAGTTTGGTTTGGTTCTCGAGTTGTTAACGTTATCACCTACACAGTAAGCTGTTGGTTGTTGTTGTTGTGGTGGTGGTGGTGGTGGTGATGGTTGTGGTCCTGGTTGTTGTTGTTGTTATTGTTGTTGCTGTTATTGTTGTGGTGGGGGTGGTTGTGGTCGTGGTTGTTGTTGTTGTTGTTGCTATTGTTGTGGTGGGGGTTGTTGTTGTTGTTGTTGTTGTTGTTGCTATTGTTGTGGTGGGGGTGGTTGTGTTTGTTAGTGTCATATTTGTTGTTTTTCTTCTTTGTTTGTTTGTTTTTTGGGTAAGGGACGTTTTTCCTGAGAAAAGCGGCGTTCAACCAAATCTTGTTATGTACGATCTTTGATTGAACTGGGCATCAGCTAGAACATACTGTTGACTAGCTATAAATTAAAACAGGAGACAAGCTAACGTGTCCGCAGAAATCCGCGCATTTGTTCAGATTGTTTTGAAGCTCTCTTTTGTTTCTCCAGAGGAAGAATAGGAATAAATAGCACCGTTTGTTAGTTTCACTTTTATATTTTTTTATTTTATTTTTTATTATTTTTTTTTTACTCAAGTAGGGTAACTCTGTTCGCAAAGTCCGCGCTTTTTCGAAGAGGGCGCCACCCAATTTTGAGTACACTTTTTAATTGGCTCAAAGAGAGGAGTGAACTATCTTGTTATAACAACAAATGTAAACTCAGTGGACCATGATATTAAGCTGAAACGCGGGTCAAATTGAACCCAGGAAATTAGAATTTGTGTGCCTTTAGTCAACGTTTTTCTGAAAAATCCACACAGAAATGAGTTCTTTAATGGGCATGAAAGGTGTTGAGCCAAAAAATATGAATTTGATTTTAAAAATTCACAAACCTGCGGGAAAACACAAGTTTTTTCGCTTTGATTATTTTAACGAGAGCCTGATTTCACCACGCTGCCTCACTAATTAACCTCGTACATAGCTCCAACGTTCCGGGATCATGAACCTGTCTGCTACCAGTTACTAAGCACACAGGAGACTCCCATGCCCAGTGGAGCATAGTGACTGCAGGCCAAAGACTGGCCCCAACAATCAACTCTGTGGACCTGCTGCTGCCTTTTCTCGCTCTCGCTACTGAGTGACAGGTTGGTGGCTAGTCTAGAGACTTGTCGTTTTGTTTCCATTGCGTTCAAAGGTTTGGGGTTATTTTGTAATTTCAGTTTATTTAGATATATATTTAGGTTCTATCATTGTGTTCAAAGGTCTGGGGTTATTTTGTAAACTTCTGTATTTAAACAAGGTTTCACTATTGTGTTTGGAGGTTTGGGGATATTTTTGAAATTATGTGTTTATTAAGACATTTATATTATAGGTTTTACCATTGTGTTTTGAGATTTGGGGTTATTTTGTAAATTCTCTGTTTATTTAGACATTTATTTAGAT